CTTATTGAATCGACGAATTCAAACGAATCAGAAACGCTATGCTTGCAGAGGTTATTTCTGATAGGTAGGAGGATTTCTGTGAGCCATTTGGCAGTAGCATGATATGGTGAATTTGTCATGTCCAAGATTGGACGTGCCAATCCCAAGAAAATAATTGCAATAAACTTTCAAAGAAAGCTGTATTACTTCGTAATTCATTTGTCTTTTTCTCCATTCTTTTCTGTGAATTATAAGATGATGATATGTGAGACAAATGGTACGTATCATTTTATTAGACTTTCGGGAAATTAATTTAAAGCTCTGTATGGCGTTGAAATTATAGTACGTTTCCTAATACAACTCAATTTTACAAAGTAGCTGACTGTCGAATCACTAGAATTTCTCACAGAAGTCCATTTGTTCAGGTTGTTGTATTCCGAAAATGAAACAGAATGACAGGGCAGTAGAAGAAAACATGATCCACTGATGCATATTTTTAAGTTATTTCACAGCCAATCGAACAATCCCATGCTGCTTTTATATACGTTGACAGGTTTACTGTCATTTCGACTTATAAGGTACCTTTCCACATTATAAACGTCTTTATAATGATGAATGTAATAGTACAGTATTATTTAATACGTAATGATTTTATCAAAAGCTCAATCACTATTCTATTTTTTTCAGATGAGCACATTGCATGTGGAGTTTGTTTCTGCTGATGCTCCCTTTCCACTTTTTATATTGATAAGTGCTTTATTTTTTAGGTGCATCGTGGAACACTTTATATTGATGAGTGTAATCTCCACCTACGTCATGTTCAGATAACTTGGCCACCTGGTTTTAAGCCAAAAACTCGTTTACCTACAAGTATTCCATCAAGTGATGCTCTTTCGACTCAGAACCATCGTTTAACAACAATGCAACATGCCTCAAGTATATCCACGCGTGTTGCTGTAAATGAACTTGCAAAAGTACATTCCAAATCATATTCATCAAATAAATTATCGAATCACTGCACTCGACTACCAGATATGGCTGGTAGGCGTGTTTCAGTAGAATATGTTCATACACGTAAACCGACCACACCAATAAATCATGAAATCATCCCTTCAAATAATCACGGTTATAGTGATACTCTAGGAGCAGTCGAAATCCAGTCACCGTGCAGTCTAACAGATCTGAACCCAAGATCATTTCTTGAACATAACGAAAGTGACTCAATTCCACAGGATCTACGCTCAAAATCTGGCTATTTAGAAAATCCCATAAGCTGGACACTGGATGACGAAGCTGCTTGCTTTAACACAGAGGCTTTTGCCTCTGTATCAGATGAGAACCATGAGTGCGAATTCGGTGTATTTAGTAAGAGTGATATGGATGGCTGGACCCCAGAAGAAGACAGGCAATTACTAGAATTTTGCAAGAGTAGGGGTCGTTACAGTTCTAAAATGTTCTCAATCCTGGCTGAAATTTGGGAACCTAAACCGTATGATTTCTCTCCTCAGCGGAACGCTAACGAACTAGAGGCGCGTTTCAAGCAACTGATGCGCGCCACTTTAAAGGAAGCTTACGATCCTGAACTATTTCAAACACCTCCTTCACTAAATTCATCAACTGAAAGCAGTGAATAGGCCATTATTACCATTTGGTTTTATTTGTCTTTCTTCTTCCCGTTACTTGAATTTCTCGGCTTTTAAATCTTTGTTTTCTTCCCTTATTAATGATTCAAAATTAAATATTTATGCCAATGACCTTTCTTTAATATTATATAATTTATGTTGTGTACATGAAATTTAAATTTAATCATCAAATCAAAATCAACCATGGATAACTTTGTGATAGTTTAGCCTTTAAATAATGTATATATGTTATCTGAAGGTAAGTTAAAAAAATATATTAAATGTGTGTATATAATTCATGTATCGCCGTTTATTACTGCTGTCGAAGAACCAGCATAGACGCTAAAACCTAGGTGAAAACTGTGGAATCCTCACATTTTGTAGACATTGAAAACCACCACCTCTAACAGCCCTCCGAATAGTTTTATTCACCTCTTAGAGCGTTATATGAGCTGAATAATGTTTTTTTTATTTTGAAGTGAATTGAATTAAAAGTCAATCTGAACGAAGAATATTCTTTTCAATCTGTCTGTCTGTCTGTGTGTCTGTCCGTTTTCGACATAGAACTTTGCACATATGTGCGGCAGTTCAAGTCACCACACTTCCTCCATGTAGCACACAAAGCAAGAGAAGAAAGTAGAAAAAGTGCATAATAGAGACAGTAAACAGAGGTGTGAGACAAATGAATAGTAATAACGAGGAACAATATAGTTTCATTGGAAATCATAAGTCACAAGGAGTGGATGCATCTGCGCCAGCCATTGAGAACGATTTTGAGCCGGTCATATCACCGATTGTTTCCAGCCTTCATTGGTTTTTATATTCCTGAAGACCCCAACCAGTCAGGAAGTCTACACCTTCCTACGTGGCTAGCTTAAACTAACTGTTGTAGATTTCGTTGACTGGTGCCATGTTTTTGTTTGACCTCCGCTAGCTCTTTTCCAGCCTGACCCTATGTCCGCTAACATTGGCCGTCGAGGAAGGCGATGACTAGGAATACGTAACACATGTCTTAACCATCTCAGTCGATGTTGTTTCACAGCCTCGTCGGTTGATTTCCCCTCCCTCGTTACCTAGAACTCGACCGACGTCTAACCTCAATATTGCTCACCTTGTTATACCACTTCACACGGAAGATAGAACGCAGGCACCTATGATCAAAGACACCTAATCTTTTCATGTCTTCCACTCTCAATGGCCAGGTCTCACAGTCATAAAGGAGGACGAAGCGGACTGATGAGCAGTACACTCGCCCTTTGGTCGAAAGCCAGCCGGATTTCACGTCTACGCCAGAGACGGCGTAAACTGGCATATGCGGAACTAGCCCTCTGTATCCGTACTCAGCTGAGATTTCGTCAGCGATCAACCCGTTGGCGTTGGCTGATGGTACTTCCCAAATAAGGGAAGCGGTCAACGTGCTCTACCACTTCACTCCCTATTTCTAATCTAGGAGTCAGTGTAGTCCAGTCCTGCTCTGTAACATCATCTTGCATTTGGCGGGAGCGAATCGCATGCCAAACATTCGTAGATTGCAGCTCAAGGTGTTCAGAAGACTCAGCTTAGTTTTGTCATCGTTCTCGCCTAGCAGGACTATATTGTCTGCATATTCTAAGTCAGCGAGATTATTCCCTGGTAGCAAGCCAATCCCTGAGTCTTTGAAGTCAGTAGTTAGGGTTAAGTCCATGAGTACATCTATGATGAAATTGAATAGGAATGGGGATAGTGGGCATCCCTGACGGACACCACTAGTTGTCACCACTTCAGATGACAACTCGCCGTAATCTCTCACCTGGCTGACGGCATGAGTTCGAGTAGAGTGAGTGTCTTGATCAATGGAATGTATTTTCTCGGCATTCCCTTCACGGCCAAGCATCTCCAGAGTACCTCTTGGTCGACAGAATCGAATGTCGCTTTCAGGTCAAGAAAATATAATGATTGTTGGACGCCGTTAGGAATGCCTCTGTTCTAGAATCTGTCGAAGGGTGAAGATATGATCGATACACCCTCTTCCTGGTCTAAAGCCTACCTGGTTCTCTTGTAATTGTGCCTCCCGAGTACCACTTAGTCTACGCATGATTATTGGGCCTAGACTTTAGATACTATATTAGTCAAGCTAATCCCTCTGTGATTATCACAGGAAGACTTGTCTCCCTTCTTGTGGTGTATGGGGATAATCAATGACTTACACCGGCCCAACGGGACGTCCTCTGATTCCCAGACACTGTCTAACACCTTAGTTAACTGAGACATTAAACTCTCTCCAGCGTCCTTAAACACCACTGGAGTCATTCGACCAGCTCTTCCTCGTTTCGGACTAGCGCCAGCTTTCGTAACCTCAGTTAGGGTTGGGGACGGAGGACCGGCGTTTGTATCTCATTCATTTAGGGAGGTGTTGGATTCTCGGTTAGTTGAATGTGGCTGTAGGCCAGTTAAGTTGCCCCTCGAAGTGTTCTTTCCAGCGTTCCAGTCGTCTATCCTGAGGGCTAATTAATGTGCCATTTTCCTCGGAGGATGTTTCACTTATCATTTGCCTTTTGCCACCCGCTTCCCTGATAAGTCTAAACAGTGTCTGGTGTTACCTATCACCGATGTCTTTTCCATCTCTTTTGCTTTTGTTCCCCACCACTGTTCATGGTGGCCTTTGAACAGCTTTCGCTCCTCATCATTTTCGGAGCTCGCTGGAAACAGTATTCTTGCCTTAATCAGTTCGGATGAGGCAGTAGAAATCCACTGCCTCTTCCTGTGATAACCACAGAGGTATTAGCTTGACTGCAGATTTTTATTGATTGTAATTTCTAAAATGATTTTGTAGCGGTGAGTTTTTCTTCAGAATTATTCGCCACAGTAACCATCACTGAAAGAATGGATGGTGACTCTCACTGTTTTAGTGGATTTGTTTAGTTGAAGGCTCACGGTGAAGCATCCACGCGAATTGGTACGCTGTCGTATTCATTCGTTCGCGTACAATCCCTAGCTAGTTAAGCAATCATCTCGAAATCCGATTTGGTCCCGAAATATAATTCCTAGTTTCGACGATCAATTCTGGTGTTTAGCTCTGCCTTTGGTCTACGAGAAACAAACACTAGAGAATTCCTGGGTATTAGATCTTGCGTTAGTATACTTTGTACTATCCGTGAATATCAACAAACTTAGCCCCTAATATACTGAAAAGATAGCTACAGCTCATTCCCACCCTTGTGGAGTTGTAAGGATCCTAAGAGTAAACCAGCCAGAAGTAAAATCCCAACGGTGTTACCATCAGTAAAACTCCTCAAACACGGGTGAAAAAAGACGTCTAGGAACTGTGGTTGGAGGGGAGCAGGTTTACGAATGCATTGCATTTAGTGAGCCTGCTGCCGTATGAGGCGTGACCTACCACTGGCGAGACGCTAGAAAAAGAAATGAACCCATTTAACAGTCGCAGAGTTCTGGAATACACTAGCTCGTTAGCGGTACAAACGGAAACAGCTTTCAAAGCATTTCGTATTCTTACGAGAACTAACCGTAGTGTTTCAGATCAATGCGAATTGCTTGTATATATATACAAGCATAGATACCGTTCAAAACATGATAACTCACCCATCAGGATTAAGATCAACTGGTATAGCAGGTAGGTAATTTGGACCGAGAACATCACATTGAGTAGGTTGTTCTGATTTGATCATGGATTCGTCGTCTAAAACCGACAAGTAGTTTGTTTCTGTTCTAGATGCTTTTTCCATCTGAGATTTCCAAAAGCAGTTTACATTTTGCGTGAATTCAGTTAGTACATCCAACTTGCGTTTTACGCTTTCGCAGAAGTTATTATAACTTAATACATCCTCATAACCTACTTCAGTCGGAAGTCCTTCGAAAGTAAACAGTTCCTGAGGATTTCTATCAGTTAAACATGAGGTAATCAGTGGTATACCATAAGGAATAGCAAGAGAACTCATTTCATTAGCATATTGTTGCATCCTTTTAAGATCTACTTCACCCGGTTGACTTAGTTCCTTATATAGTTGAAGTAGATAACGAGTGGCAACTGATACGGGTTTTGAATCTCCTGCGTTATCTATGCTATCACGATTAGCTAACAGATTCCATCGACGAGAGCGCAGCTGTAAAAATGTACGATGTGGAAGTATATACCTACCGATTAAACGATAGGCAATATAACGTCCTGGTTGTTTATTTTGAGACTTTAAACTTCTTGAGAAGCAACGTTGACTAGACATTTTAGATTCAAGAGCTCTACGACAGCGGGTTAAAGCACCTGAAAAATCTGCCAGTCCCATTATCATCAAAGCATCTTCTGACGGATGAAATACTAGCCGAACATGACTTTTTGGATGAGGTCCCAAGACGGTAGGCATTAAATAAGCATAAGACCAAATAGGACTGTTGATCATTATATCCAATAAACAGTATGGAATCGGGAAGGCAAATGATTGCGATTTAGTCAACATATGTCCTACTCCCTGCTTATAAGGATTCCATGGTAAACGAGGAAGCATAGACAATCCAGAGTAATCAGAAATCAAATCAACAGCCATGTCTAGGGTAGGACAACGCCAATAGAAGCTAGTTACAGAATGAATTGCACCGGATACTTTTTTTTGAAGCGCGACTAAATCAAAAGCCTGACGCTTGGCAACCAAAGTTTTGAGAAGAGATGCACATGGTCGAGTCGTTGATTCGTGCATATCAGGAAAATCATAAGTGAGCAGGAAACTTGTAGTCAACAACTGTATGTGCATTCCCAATTGGCGTTCTAATCGAACTAGTTCTGTACTTGTTAATCTGAAACAACAATGGACATAACATCAATTTATGATGGCATAGAAAGAGATCGATTTAAGCGATAAATTAGCTTGTCATCCTAATAAATAATTTTAAGCACAGTTTCGTAATATACAATTTATGGATTTACAAATAGCATAGACAGCTGAATCAATATCAAACAATATTTAGCAGATAGGAAGGAGATATGTTCAACCAGTTTTACTTAGTATACAATGAAATAAACTACATTTGTACGAATGTCATTAGTGTGAATCCGATTGCAGCTGAAGTTTTCATTCAGATTTCGATATCTTCCTTTCAAATGTAGAATGAATTTTGCAAATGGAAAATAATTCAGATACTCTATTTAACGGTATGTTAATAATTCACACCCAAATGTCTGTCATTCAATGGTCCTTCGTCGGCTTTCAGTTTTCATTCTACACATGACGCATACACTCATTCTATTATGACAACCAACTTTATAAATGTCTCTCTAAGAAATGCAGTGGGATTCGATTATTTATAAATTGAACTTACACTGTTGAGTGTTACCTGAACATGGTATACTCATAAAGACATTTTGTTGACCATAAATTCATTAAAACTAGTGGAACATCTTCAGTTAGTCGAAGTGATATATATGAACTCTATTTTCTACTTGATATTATTTAACGAAGTATTTAGTACAGACTATTTATGAAATAGTATAGGCAATGTTTCTGGTAAGCTACCAGCCAACATATATGCGGTCTATGTCGTCCAAAAACAAGTTTAAACAAACAGACCGAAGCAAGACACCGATTTCTGATAAGTCAAAGGCATCAAATACATTCAGCAGTTTAGTTCAATGCAGTGGAATAAAATGTTAACTAATAATGACTCCAAAATGACTTGACTAGATAAAAAAACATGACGCCTTAACTCGTAACAAGAATCATAGCAACAATAAAGAAACATAGTGTGGAACTGATTCTGTAAGTGTTCCTGCCATAGTGCCTATTAGGGAATGCGGATAATGTGTTCACCTGAATTGGAGTCATGCACAAGCGTATTTGGTTATTCGCCCGTCGAGGAAGGCGATGGCTAGAGAGACTGCGCGACACATGCATGTCCCAACTATCTCAATCTTCTCTTTAAATTTCTCCACAGAAATACTTGTTGACATTTAGTGTTGTATGGACCTACTAATTTTTGAATCAAAACCTCATTTATATATTGTGAAAATCGTTAGTAATTATTGATTTTAAGAAAGCACATAAATAATGAGTGTGAGATCTATACATTCACCTATGTCGTAATAAACAATTATAACAAAACATGCATGTGACTATTGTTAATCAGCTAAATTTTATGATTACTTGGATTTTAACATGGGTTGCATGTTATACTCTCCTCAGAAATGTACTAAATTTCACTTAGTTCTGCCTACAAACGAGTTGTTTCACCGAATTACTGTATGTGATACTTCAGAGGATATCAGATGAATTATAACTTAGATATAAAAGGACTATATACCAGTTACAGATTACTGGGCACAGACAATAGAAAATTTTCACTGGCATCAAATTTATGAGAGATAAAATATCCTGTAGAGTCAGTCACCAAACCTGATATATAGTATTTGTATCTATTACAAACAAATACTTGACAATTAATATCAATTGACGAGTGTTTAAAACCCATTTATAAGAAATATCGCGTATATTTGTTTAGCAATACTGATATTCTCATTGCAAGTATACACATTTTGAAGTTGACTTCAATGAAAATTTTCGATCCCTGTGCCTACGATTAAAGGGCGAAATTCTGCGGACTCTACTTCAAACTGTATCTACAACTTCACCTGCAGCTGCAGTGACACCTGTATAGGTAGAGCCAACAGAATGTTCCAGTGTCGTCGAAAACGACATGTTCCAAAATGGCTACTTAATCATATAGAAAATCCCAATGCGATTAATCGGAATAGAAATCCAGCATCATCCATTGAAAAACACTTGTTAGTTTTTATTTTATTTTTGATTACAGCTTGATTCCACACTGTATTTTTGGTACTAGTATGGAATTTTCAGCATGGATATCGGTAGCCCAAGTTTTTCAGGCCGACCATAGATATCAGGTGTGCGCCGGCAGGGGATTGAACCTCAGACGATGTGCATGGTCGGCGAGAGTCCTTACCACTGTGCCACCGACGCACAATGTCAGGTCACAAAATCAATATTAATCACTGTTTCACAATTAGTTCACGTAACTCTAATTCAAGGTTATTGAAGGTGATGGAAGCACTTTGGATTAATCACATACAGCCTAAACTGTGTATACAAAAATCAATAGACTTCAATCTTCGCCTACCCTGGACTACATGACCTATCTAAATATGATTGGTCATAAGTATGTACTTTTGTTTTTATTTAATTGAGTAATTTTCATGAACTTTATTTTATCATTGTTAACCATGTTAGTTGTAAAGCGGTTGTAAAGAAAGTACGAAATGATATCATCTCGCGAAATTTGTCTTCTTAATGCCTTATTTTAAAAGTAATCTATTCATTTAAAAATGTTGAAACAGTGCCTTATTTTGTAAAAAGAGTATGTCGTTTCAGAGAAGGTTAAACTATTCCACGACAATATTACTTATAGCTAAAAGAAAAATATTGAAAAGTAATAGGAACGAATCGTTGAGTCAAAAACAGTATTTGAACAGAAAGAATGTCATCACAAAGATAATTCACTATTTGAAAAGTTATGAACTGTGAATACGTATACACAATTTTGAATGATTTGGAGTCACATCGAAAAAGTGACTGATCGTCGGTGCTCATCATCATCCATGAGATCCATACATTCTCAAATAACTCAGGCTAAATGTTTTCACATCGTTTATTTTGTTTGGTTCATTTCCAAACTATGTATTCGACCTAATTATCACTTGCCTGCAACTCTATGCTCAAAGTAATTATTGCTTGTCATATTATTCAGCTCTATGTAAGTATCAGTTAGAGAACCATTGAAAACCAGAGAGTTCTTGACAGCTGTTCGTACAGCGGTATCAAACGGTCATCGAAAATTAACTGCCTGTGCTGTAGCAACTAACTCGCCTACCTACGTTACACCATGCGGACGTTGTAGGCAAGTGATAGCAGAGTTTTCTGATAATCAGTGTATTATATTTCTTGTGAATAAGAACAAAGAAGTGAAAACTGTTGAATTCGGTGAATTATTACCTTCTGGATTTAATAATGAAGACTTGAGGGGTGGATGTGCAACGAAGGAAAAGAAAACCTAATTCACGTGAAAACACTCTTGTCAAGATTCACAAGTCATTATTAAAAATCAGTAAGTGAATGAACGAAAATGACGAAAACCTTGTTGGAATATCATTGTCATTCTGAATTTTATGAAAAGGAGAAGACGTTCAGCGAAGAGACTCTTTTCGGCGAATTCATTCACATAGCTGTACAGTCGCATTTATATATGATTATTTGTGTGTGTATGTGTGTGCGTGTAAATAAGGTTTTTCAAGTTTAGATAATTGATCAGGTAATAAAAGAATGATCTAATATAGAAACAAGGTTAATTAGACAGCAACTAAATCTAATAAACCAAACTTACGATCTCACATCCACAGCAGATGAAAACCTACAACAACTCAAAGCATCAATCCTCGACTGTTATCACAAGTTTGTAAATACCAAATCCAACCGAAGGTCCATTTTGACGGATAGGCACTATAAGGAGCTGAAAGAACTTATGAAAAACGAAGAGATTATGATATTACGTCCTGATAAAGGTGGAGGAATCGTAATAATGAATCGCAAGGACTATATCAGTAAGATGCTCCGTAAGCTAAAGACTGAATCTTTCATAACCAACGAAACGTTCAAATCCCTAAGACCATTCGGCTCAAATATACCACGACTTTACCAACTCCCGAAAGTAAACAAGAAGGGTATCCCTCTTCGACCGATCCTCGACATGACCAATTCGCCTTATCACCGCACAGCCCAATGGCTAGCAGACCTACTAGAACCAATCAGAAGACAAGTTTCCTGCTACACAGTTCGGGATTCATTCGACTTTATTGACTCAATCGAAAACGTCAACGTATCGAATGAGACCATGATCTCATTAGATGTCACATCACTATTCACAAGTGTTCCACTGACTGAAAAATATGCTATATATGCGAACTTATTCATTCCAAAGTAATAAACATCGGTATACCCACCGAGCGTCTTAAAGAACTCCTGCTGAGGTGTACCCTGAATGTTCAATCCTCTTTCAACAACGAAATATATCGCGAAAAGGATGGTATAGCTATGGGCTCACCACTAGGCCCATTGCTTGCAGATTTCTTCATGGCAAAACTCGAACACACATGCCTGAAGAAAATGATCGATACCTTCGAAATCTATAAGAGATACGTCGACGACACTTTCATTATCGTCAACAATGAAGAAAATCTAGACGACATCCTGAAGTCGTTTAACAACTGCCACCCCGCGATTCAGTTCACATTAGAGAAAGAGTCCAACTCCAAAACATCCTTTCTTGACGTCCAACTAACAAGATGAGAACAGGATGGAACACTGAAAAGATCTATCTACAGAAAGTCGACATGGAACGTACAGCTTACTAACTTTCACAGTTGGGTACTCCTATACACCAAACGAAACCTGATCCGTTCACTCAGCTACAGAGTTCGCAGAATTTGTACCCCGGACACCATAGAAGATGAACTGGACAATCTCAAGAGAATCCTCGTCTAGAATTGTTACCCAGAACGACTTATTGCAAAATCTATGAATCCTAGACAAAAAAGCCGCCTATGTTTAGCGTCCCGAAGAAACCACTCTACATGAACATTCAATTCAATGGAGATATATCTGCAGAAATACTAAAAACTCGACTGTCGCGCTCACTCAAGAAGACCTTCTTCGCAGCTGAACTACGACTAACTTTCTCCACAAAGCCTATGATTCATCTCAATGTGGAGGATAAGCTACCACTGTTGGCCTCATCAATGTGTATTTATCAATTCACCTGCTCGTGTGGAGCCAGGTATGTCGGCCGTACCCAGCGTTCGCTTTCCAAGCGTATCACCGAACACTTACCAACTTGGTTTTACAAAGGAGAAAAACGATGTCCCCGCAACTCCATCTTAGAACATCTGATAGAATCCGGACGCTAAGCTGCACCCCGAGCAAACTTCAAAGTCGTCTACAGAGTAAGAAGTAGTCTTCCTAAAGGTGTAGGAATCAGACTTCTTCAAAAACTGCAGAAACAATGGCAATTTACTTGCTAAGCTCTGAACTCTGCATAAAGAAGAAGTTCGTTCAATCACTACACTTGCAATGGACTTAATCTTTCTCATTAACCGACAAGTAAATTCCACCCAATTCTTTTTTTCTGTCTCTTCATTAGTATTATTTTGTCTTCTCAATCGTAATATTTTGCATTTTCAACGTTTTTGTTCTCTACCCCCACCCGATTTAATTTCTACACCTCACTATCATTGTCACTGACTTGACCAACGTTCAATTTCTACTCATTTATGTTACGTCATCCAACTTAATTGCTCAATTTCAGTCCTAACTTAAATGGCATTATTATCTACCCCACTTCTACTTAGTCTCTACCTGTAATTACCTCTGTTGCTACCTTGACCTAAGTTGAAACATTTTATTCAATTATATTACATCATCTACATTACTAACTCAATCTTATTTTAGTTGCTGTCTAATTAACCTTGTTTCTATATTAGATCATTCTTTTATTACCTGATCAATTATCTAAACTTGAAAAACCTTATGTACACGCACACACATACACACACAAATAATATATAAGAAAAGAGTCTCTTCGCTGAACGTCTTCTCTTTTTCATATGACTCAATTAGGATTTTCAGGCTATTCTGAGTTTTCTTTAAATAGAAAATATGAGATTACTTAAGTTTTGTAGTGTTTTTCTAAATATGAAGATTATTTGTGAACTTCAATCTTTCGTTGCATTTCTATCGATGGATAAATTATCAGAATGACAGCTGGTGAGTGAAATTTACGAATATTGTGGTGCCTTATCTGTGTGT